TGAAAATCATTAAAAAAAAATTTGGTACGTAGTTACCTACCTGTCAAAGACTGCAAATTCAGAAACAAGAGTTTTGTAGATAGCAACCATATCAGGATTGAATCCATTCATAACGTCCTGAGACATGGCGGTGGTGTTGTCCATGGAGTAAGCCTGCTGAGCAAACCCATTCATGGGAGGCGGGTCGGCGGACGTGTTATCCGACCCGAATATCTGCTCTCGGATGGCTTGGAAGGAGTGGCCAGGATCAGGGTCCACATAGTGAGACTCGTTCTTGAAGAAGAAGCGCTTGGAGTTGGGGTCGGTGGTGGAGAGAGGGTTGGACTCGGAGCCGTCCACTCCGTTGATTTCTGGGTTGATTTTCTTCATCCACCCTAGCATGTGGTCGAACGACCTGTTCTCCATCACTAGAACAACTATGTTTTTTATGGGATTGGCATGGACTGGACTATAGAGTCCTACGAGCAGCAGGAGGAGGACGGAAATGGCAGCGGTGGCTGCCATTTTAGAGTATTGGACTGGACCGGATTGGATTGGATTGAAGGACTTAAATATGTATGTTTTGGTGAGTAATGTGACTAAATTAATCACTGTTGCCTGGCGCGAGAGAGAGAGAGAGTTGGAGATGGCGAGCCCGTGAGTACCTGGTTTTTATAGGGCAAGTGGTGATGGCAGTGCATTAAGTAATTGCCTAGATATGGAGATAAGATTTCTTTTTTTTTTGTCAAACGATAAAATTATTAGATTAAACGTTAAATTAGAAATAGAGATGTATTTCGAAACCACAAGCTTCTCGGTTTTCTTATTTTGGGTCGGGGCACGAGGACATGTTACAGCCTCGCAGGGTGTGGCTTTTTCAGAAATTTGCCCCCTCAGATTTTATCTCTTTCCCTTTTTTTAATTTAAGAGATAACTCGTGTACATAATTTAATTGAAATAAGTGCGGCACTATTTTACTGTATTTTAATCAAATTGGAGGTTGGAGAATGATTAGTCACGGAGAATCCTCTCAAAATGGGAGAATTATAAGGAATTGAGAGGTTTAAAAGAGAACAAAATAATTTCATGTCTAATCCTTTTCTAATCATTTTTACCAAACAACCCCTAATAAATTAAAATGATGTAAAGGTAAATGAAAGATTTCCAGTTTAGAAAATTTAATTAATATTTATGGCCAAATCCGTTGGCTAAAATATTCCTAGGTGCATAAGAGAAACTGAATTTCACATAATTCTTTTTGTGAATGAATTTCAAATGATACATTGTATTGTCCAGTTTATTGTATTCTTCTCATTTTTGCAAAGGGTTTTTTTCCTATGTCTGGAAAGAAAAATAACGTAAAAATAAATTGTGGTAGGACCTGAAAACCATAAATATATATCAAAATTGAAGCTAACGAAAAATTACAGCGGAACAATTACTAATATTCCCCTAATTTTGCAAATTCTTATTTTGTCATATTACCTAATTTTGTGAATGAAGTTTGATAATGATATGGTTAATTTAATTATGTGTTTCATATTTTAGTTTGGTGAAACAAAACCATTTAACACAAATGTGGAAATGGAATATTATCTTTCTAGAACACGTAAGTTTTAGTCACTCAGTACTACAGCCTGGTGGTATTCCTTTTCACTTGTAAGTGAGAGGTCGTAGGTTCGAATTTCGTAGATGGTGAATTCGAAACCAAATTAGGTTGCCCATTGTGTAGCTTAGCCGAACTCCCCCTCCCATTAGTGTAAAATATATCGTTGTACTAAAAAAAAGAACACGTAAGCTCTGTACATAGTCATTGTCTATTTGGAGATGTTCAAGTTCCATCTTCACAAACAATAAAAAGTGGTATTCCTATTCACTTGTAAGTAAGAGGTCTTAAGTTCAATTCCCGTCAAAGATGAATTTGAACCACATTATTGATAGTCTATTGCGAGGCTAAGCGCACACCCACCTCTTTTTAGTGTTATAATATCGTTTGTTCTAAAAAAAAACACAATGAAACTCATTGAAAGAGAAAGTTATGACAAGGTAAGGACAATACAAAATAGAGTTCAAGATAGCTAAGCAAAAATCCAACTCCGCAAAAGAAAATTACAATGAAATAGGCCTTAGCTAAGCAGCCCATAGCTACATTCCAACAAAACAAAACCTAGATTTGAAAATGTAAAGTAGCCACCTCCACCTAAGCAGCCGCACCAATACCGCAAAGTCATCACCACTACTTGGAAGAAAGACCAGAGAACCAACATGATGAACAGAAAATGATGGTAGGCAAGCTACTCGTGCCATAATTCTACCAAGTAGTGCACTTAGCATTATAAATGCTTGCACTTTAAATGCTCCTAACCACCGAAGTGCACCGGCGGAGGTGATTCTTGGAGGAGGCACTCGATGAAATGAGTAGCATGGGCAGATGGTGGAGGATTCAAGTTGAGGAGCAATTTTTGGAGAGGAAGAAGGCATAAGAAAACGATCTGGGACAAACTCAGAGCAAACTAAGATGCAAAACGCTCAAAGTGATGGCAGTCGAAAGCCAAGGGCATTAAAAGATAATCCAAGTCAATAGTGGTTTGGTGTAGGAAAAGGAGGAAGAAAATCCCCAGGGAAGGATGGGGGAAGGAAGGAAAAATGGAGGGGGAGTCGGAGGGAGGGCTGGAAACCAAAAACAGGGAAGGATAGGGGAAGGGAGGAATCAGAGGATGGGAAAGAGAGGATAAGAGGGAGGAGGGTTAGGAAGGGGTGGGTACTATCGTACTAGGCTGCCGCCGACTCTAAGCTAGACCAAGAGGCCGACGGCCAAAGGGCTCTTAGAGGTAGGGTTTTTTGGGAAGAAGGGATAGGGCGCGTGGTTCAATCATTCAAAAATGTTAATGTTATTAGTTGGTTTTTCTCTCTTTTGTTTTCATTTTTTCTTCAAATATGAAATAATTATTACAATGGATCAGAAGACAATAATTTTTTTCACTCGTTTTATAGACACGCTCCATAATATACTTTAACGATCCAAACGTTCATCTTTTAGATTTTCTCTCAAAGTTCATGTCAACCAAAAATCATCCAAATCCAAAACTATATGACCATTCAATTAAATGATAGTCATTTTAGTATTTTTTTGCATAAGAGTATTTATTCATTTTCTTCACTCCAAACAAATGTTTTAATGATTTTGGATTTGTATTATTTTTTCCAATGGTGATCTATGAGTGATGAATTGAAACAATAAATGGTTCGGATCATTAAAAGAAGTTATGGGATAAACCATACAAATTAAGCACCAAAATGTCTGTAAAAAAATAAGTGTCCTCGATCTTAACCCATTACCAAATAAGTTTTGGCTAAATTAGAATAATAGTTCCCATGGTGATAAGTAGTGTTCTAAAAATTAGCCTAGGCAGCCGCATAGGCGCTAGGCGGTAAAGGCCCGCCCCGATTTTGGACAAATTTTTTCAAAAAATTGGTCTAGAGGTAGGCGGTCCTAGGCCCTTTTTTTTATTATTATTAATTGTGTGCTTTTTTCTCTTTTGGTTTCATAGTGGCATACTTATGGAAATGGTGTACCTAATTTGCAAATGATGGATTTATTACAAGTTCATCCAATAGTGAAACAAATTGGAGCACTTTTAAGGGGATACATACAAAGAAAAGAAATAAACTAGATACAGCAGAGTTAAATAATTTAGTCTATATCCAATCCAATGCAAGGATCATGATTCATGAACAAGAAGAATTTAGTCTATCATCCAAATCCTCCTCATTATGATTATATGCTCATTGTTTTTGAAATATTGAACTTTTTGGATGTATATAACTTGTGTATTTTTCTACTTCTATTTTTTTTCATTTTATCATTCTTTTATTATCCATACAAGTATAGTTTTTTTTAGGTGTAAATAGGCACTTATTTACAAGATATATAATAAATTTATATAAATCCGCCTATGCGCTAGGCCCCTTCCCGCTGCCGGATTAGTGCCTAACGATTTTTAGAACCTTGGTGTAAGGGAATCAGAACATCGCCCTCATGATGAAAAAATTCGAATTTAAAACCTCGTGATAAACTAACATTTTTATCAACACTCCATCCAACCTTCACAACCAAAAGGAAAAATAAAAATAAAAAATAAAATAAAAAAACTCATTTATCCGAGATTATGAATTCTTTGCTTCATGCTTCGATTCCATTCAAAGCTACTATTTTTTTTTTATTCTTGTAGCACTACAATCTAATTAACATTGAAAATTTTAGTTATCCTTTTCTTATGTGGAAACTTTAATTGAATTGCTTATTTGGTAATTCTATAGAAAACTGGACTTAATAGGCGATATTATAGCTAAAATTTTTGGAAACAATTTTGCAATCTGATTGAAAACGGATAATCGGAGTTGGTAAACATATAGTTGTGATATTGGTTTGAATGTTGGTGAGGAGTGATTCGAAATAGAAACCAGTTTTCAAAGTCTGGAGGTTTATTCATCAACAATAGCAAGAACAGAAGGGAAGCTGAAAAGCAGGTAGGGAGAGGCAGAACCCAAGTGGGCGATAAACTATTTGAAAATAGGCGGGTGGGTTGGGGTGGACAATGTTTACGGAGAGTTAACGGTAACATTAATGTTAGGCTTGAATCTTAATGGACTTCAACACGAGAGTATAAATTCGAATTTTCCCACGGTAATAGGGTACGGGGACGGGGACCATTAATTTAACTTCGCGATGAGTTTTAACTTATTTAGGCATCCCGCGTATGAATCTGGTTGTTCGTACAAGGAATATACTATCGACGCGTATGAATCAAGAGGAAATATTTAATAATTTTGTTTTAACCAGCAGACAGCAAGGAAAATGGTTTCGTGCCTCTCAAGTCATCTACATGACGACGTAATAAGAGGATTAATGTCAACAGACATGAGGCATCCCAATCCCATGCGCAATCGATCAATCGATCACTCAAATAACAGCCCATATCTGCGAGCCGACCGCAAACGAAACCAACAAAAACCGGACATTCAACATTTCCAAATTGTTCACATAATTTATTTTATTCAAATACATCTCGGGCTGAATATTCCACTCACCATATTAGTTTGCTAGAAAAGCTCAATAAAAACATCAGGGACCAAATTGGGACACCATTCACCACATCACACTCACACAGCGCAAATATTTTTTATATGTAACTATAATATCTACCGCATATCCCATTTCACATCCATATCCTTTCTAGTATATCATTCATTCCCAATAACCTGTGCAACAACTCGAGCTTTCCGAAAGCAAAGTCAAGCAGAATTACATACTATCATCTCCCACCTGATGATTACCGATATCCAACAGCAGTATATGCTTCCGCACTTCTGTAGAGAGCAAGCTAGCCGGTACAGAGTTTTTATTCCACCAGTTGCCGGAGGCATGCATACCCCACAAAACCAACATATGATCTTATTAACACCTTCTATCCATCCCCAAGTTACCTGACAAGGCATTTACTTCTTATGAACTCCGCAGCACAAAACATGTATCCATATTTCTCATCCTCCGAGCTGGAGAGTTTTGGCAAAATCTGTCTTGAACAAAACACAATCACAAAATCAATACCCAGAATAAGTAAATAGAGCTCAACCTTCAAAGTATCCTCCCAATGAAATGATTGGAAGGTTGTTTTTAAGCATTAAAACATCAGACTCATTACTTCTGGATGAGTAACTAAAGATTTTTATACTTCCAAAACGCTATGAACAACCATTTCAAGGATATTATTGGCGAAGCCAGCATCTCTGTGAACAGAATCTTACGATATATGTTCCTGGCGGAGTGCTAGCAAAGTGTAGTGCAGGGTAGCATGATCTGAACACTCATCGTTTTCTTTGAGAAGACGAGGTAATCAAAAACCAACAAAGTTAAACAACAAATTTAGGCCATATATGGTCTATGGAATGGAGAAGGTTGCAACTAATAGGAGACACGGGCTAGGTACATTATAGACACTTCATAGAAAGAACCTCCTAGCATATTATAAGCAAGAGATGGGAAGTATCTGCAGGCATAGATTTCTTACTTAATATAGACATTGAATGTTAGAAACCGAGATACCTATTTGTATTACACTTTGACCAACAGAATACACAAACCATAAAATAAAACATATCAGTTCGGGAGGAAAAGTAATTTGTGAACAATAACATTTCACAAACACATACCTGTGTAGTTGTAATTGCCAGCAAGAAGCCAAGGCCACCAATGCTCCAACACAAAATTAACATTGACAAAGCTTCAAAGTTGGAGTTTGAATTCCATAGCAAAGGGCAATGCAGATATTCACCGGATCATCCTCAGGAACCTTAACAACAATAAGGGCACACACTACATGAAGAACAGATAGGCAACAGTTGTAATACCAGCAGGAAGAGAAGAACATTCTTACCATCATAACCATACCGACTTCACACAAAATGGCGGCCCGTCCAGAAAGACTGTCCTTGATATTGCTCAGGCTGTGGATTCGGGTGCTGATTTCCATTTACAAGTTGTTGCTGTTGCTGCAGCTGCATTTCATGGTGTAGCTTGAGGTCATCAAGCCTCTGGAAATCTTGCCAGCTTTTCTGGTTTTCCACTGATAGTTGTATAGGTGTACCCTGTTTACCAGGAAAGGGGAAGTTCACTGCTCCACTTAAGCCATTGCTGTTTGTGAAGCTATGGGGATTGGAATGAGATGAGTAATTAACATAATTATTCAGCCCATTTACTTTCGTTGAAGATGGCATCTGATATCCATCCAACCAGCTGTAATCATCCATAACTAGATTCTCACTCATTGAATCTGAACCATAAATTGATTCGTTTGCATTTTTAGGAGGAACACGGCTAAAACCGGGTGGTGGACCAAGGTGCCTAACAGGTCGACTTACTGGACTTTTTCGGATACCTGTAGGCAGAGCTGATGATGTCTTTACAGTCAACCTGTCAGCAATTGCATCAACTTTATATGGCAAAAAAGCTTCTGAAGCTTTCGTGTGGCTGTAAAACATACCACTAGCACTACCATTCACTGGGAGTTGGTATGGTACAGAAACTGCCACAGGCTCAGATTTTAGTGCATGCCCACTTCCCATAAATCCCATACTCCTTAAGCTATTAGCAAGAGACATCTCTTCCTCCATTGCCGGATTCAAAGCATTTGATTGAATTGGTTGTAAATTCTGGGGGATAGTATTGGCAATTGATGCAGGTAGTTGTGTACCAACACCAAAACCAGTTTCCACTGAAAACTTGGAAGCATGTGACTGGATTGGTTGCAAGTGCTGGTGTATACCATTAGCAAAAGATACAGGTGTTTGTGAATCAGCCCTAAAAGCATTTTGATGGTGTAGATTATCCAAAGTGGCAGAACCATAAGTTCCATCAACTGTTTGATCACCTGTAGAAGCATTTTTACCAGTCTCTAGGCCGTCATACGCTGTCCACGTAGTGCTTACGGCATCAGGTCGTTTCTCAGCCACTACTGGCTTAAATACTATTACTTCATCATCCTCATCCCCTTCCATGGATAACTCTGTCTTTGGATATGCAGCTCCCAAATTGATTGTGCTCTCTACTTGATTTTCTTGTAGATTATCATCTCCAGTAGCCATATGTCGATGGGAGGTAGGAACGATATCATTTTGCCCTTGAGGTTCAAAGCCTATGATAAATTTCTTTAACTTCGAATCAAAATATACTGCTTTCTGGTCAACCTTAACCACATTTGCAAGAGCTTTGCCTGCTGCCAGAATCCTTTTAACACGGGCCCCTTTTTCCTTATGGCCATCACTTCCAAAAGAATGCTTCCTCGAGAAGTCCAATATTGTTTGTGCTGGAATTAGTGGAATAAATCCTCTCAATTCAAAATCCTCCAACAAAGCAAGACGATTTTCAGTTTCACCTTCTTCATATCTGCTCATGTTATTAAAGCAAGTCTCATCTTCATCATCATCTATCGACATTGGCCCAGTCGACAAGAGACTATTGAAGAAGGATATGCAAACTTTCCAGAATTTGGATCTAACAGAGGACTGTTTTTCGTCTGCATCACTTCCAGCTGCAACATCAGGACAACATGCCAACCATTCCACTAAAACAAGAATACCTGGTAAGAGGAAACTTGAAGATGGATCACACAACTGCACGCATCTCTCTAAGATTAGCCCCGCCAACTCAAAAACAGCAGTAAATGCATTCTGCAGTAGGACAGCACGTTGTACAATTTCTGCATATGTCTGACCTTCGCTTTCCTTTTTCACATTATGAATTGTGAATATCAATATGGAGATAAGTCTAACAATAGCAAGTCCATTCTCAACAGCATCTGCACCAAAATTCAGCACCTCTTCTGCTCCAGTACACAGAAGCTCACATAAGCCACTGCTTACCACAGATAGAACTTCCGCAAATGTCTCCAGGCTAAAGAAAGAACATCATAATAAGGAGGTTAATCTTCCAAACAATTTTGTAATAAACTTCAAACTAATAAACTTCAGACTGATATATTTCAACAAAACTCCAAACTAATAAACTTCAACAAAAAAATAAAAAAAAATACCTAGTACGCGTGAAAAGAATGCCATTCAGACGGACAAACCGGATGCAAAAAGCCTTATAGGTCTCCTGAGCACTGGATGCTCTTTCCTTAACAAGGCTTACCTTGGTATTGTTATCTTTAGATGCAGGTATTATTTCCCCTTTCCCTCTACCTTTGCCTGCCAACCGTGCAGGCAACTCTTTGACTGCAGAAGCATTAGTATTCCCAGACAGTTGAGAGTAACTCTGACGATTCTAAAAGAAAAAAGAAATAATAAAAACGTTTTAAACACAGCATATCAGACAATAAAGCAGAAACTTGCGTGAAAAATTTATACTCAGAAAAGAATTAGAACAAATACATGATAGCCATTAGTAAACTCTATCATTCTCAGAGCAAAAAAATTAGAACTAATGCTTTCTAAGTATGGCTTAAACATTGGAAAGAATTATATTGGAAGATCTAAATAATTAAAAATTCATCAAAATTTCAAGACAAGATCAAAATATATAGTTAATAAATTTAATTAGGTCATGTTAAATACACAATACCTTCTCAAATGCAACAATCAAGTTATCTCTTGCAGTTGAAAAGGGACTATCCACCGCCAGGCTACGAAAATATCGATAAACAGCCACCAACTCATCCCCCGAATAGGAAGCCAATATAGCAAGCTGAAGCATTTCAGAGTGACCAGTCAAAATAATGATAAACAGACATCCAGAGAAAAACTTATGAAGAAAAATATTAAAAAACGAATACCTGGTGATGGGGGTTCCCACTGGATGGCCAGAGAGATGCAGCTTCCATGTAGTAACTTGAGGCTGCAGCGTACTCACGAGTTTTTGAGTCCCCTTCCCCATACAATCCTTTGTAGCGTGCAAGGTCACCCAAATATATCAAGCATCTGTGGCACGATATTAGACCTTTATTTCCATCCTTGTCCATAACAATCTGGTTTTCAGAATCTTCTGAGAAATAACCAAGAGGAAGCCCATATTTCGCTCTGATCTTCACTATTAAATCATGATAAAATCCAGTTGCTTCTGAAAGGAATGTTTTTAACTGCAGTCTTATTTTTGTAACTCGATCAGGCCGAATTGGCCCCTTCACACCCTGAGATGTGTTTGAACGTGCAGAAGCTGTAGCAGCACCGAAGTGTGCTCGCAATTCCTCAATGCGCTTGTAATGTAACTGCCACAAAGCATACTCGATATTGTGCTGCTCAGAGAAAGCATGGTCCTCAAGAATTATTGCTTCATAATTCTCACGCATCTGTTGCCAGGCATTGGGATCTGATGGAATTCGTGCTTGGGTAGACCTCCGACGCCTATTCTCCAACTCAAGAATCTGAAAGGTAAAAATACGAATGTGAAATCGCATCAAATATGGATTCCCATTTAACATTTTCTATCAAAAAAGTTGTTGTTGCAGCTTGAACATATAGGAAGAAACAGCATAATTTTTCCCAAAAGGGGAAGAGCAAAAGGATATACCTTGTCATATAGACGTTGGGCGCGCTCCCTTGATGAAGGAGCAGACATTTTATCCATCTGTGGAATCATCATCCATCAAATATGTTTGATTAACTGAATACAGCATTAAATCTGCATAAAAGATTAAGCTGCATCAGTTGTTGAGAAACAAATCAACTAAATTTTGTCCCTCAATAGAATGAAATCAAGACCATTGAAATATGGCATGAATAGCACACCATAAATTCCTATTGTTTGAGCAACATATTTAGCTGAAAAGATTTCATACTAAGCATCCACAAGACTAATCATTGTGAACAAATGTATTAAAAGGCGGGGGGATGGCCAAGGCGTCCAATGGATAGCCCAGCCTAGGCGCGAGGCGTGAGGCGAAGCCTCACGGAACCTAAAATTTTAAAAATATTATATATAAGTATATTTATAACAATATAATACTTTGTAAAAACAAATATAACCATAACTAAGTCAAAGATAATGTCATCTTCTTTATTACTAAGTCTAGTTGTACTTGGAAACTATGTCATATACTCTCAAAATGTTATAATTTATTTTATTGTAAGCAATTATAGAGAACTTTAAGGAAAATAAGGATGAATGGTCATAATTATAGGAAAATTTATACAGGCTGAATGTTGCAATTATAAGTAATTTGAAAGGAAATAAAGGCTGAGTGGAGTAGTATAGGGTATTTAAAATGATATCAAGCAATAACTATGAGAATTTAAAGGAAAATAAAGGGTTGAGTGGAGTAATTATACGGTATTTAAAATGAAATAAAGGCTGAGTGGAGCAACTATTATGGAAATTTATGGGATTTGGAGAGAGAGAGTCTCTCCTTCTTTGTTGAAACTAGAATGGCAGAAAACATTTCAGAAAACCTGGATTTTGAAGGGAAAAAACGCCTAGATGAATGCCCTAGACGCCTTGAGGCAGGCCTCCGCAGCCCAGACGCACTCTAGCAATGCCTTCCGCCCACTCCCTCAAAACAGAGGCGGGAACACTGACGCCCAACCTCATAGGCCGCCTAGGCTAAGGCAAGCCTTTTGATAACTCAACAAGTTATCCACTCAATTTAATCAAACATGCCATCACGGAATAGTCATGCCTTAGAAAATAAAAAGAGAATAAAAACTAAGTGGAAAACTTGATTAATTATACACACTCCATGAATAATGCTACCAAAAACAACTTAGGTGAGAATTATACAAAGTGTCCCGCGTGAAGCAAAACAAAATCATGAAAGGACAGTGATCAGTCACAACACAACAACTATTTATTGTCAAAACCAACTACCTTACAAACCCAATAATACAATTAACAGTTTATAATGCTCTTCCGAAAGACCACCAACCCATCCAGCACATAGTATGACCCATTAAAGACTGCAACCGCATTCTACATTTCTTCTAACCATGAGAAAGGATTCCCCTGCTCTCGCAAAAAGCTCTTGTTTCTTGTCAGACAACTACCCCAGGTCACAAAATCATCCCACATATTTATTCGTAAAAACGGGCGTGCAGATTAAAGCAACCCAACAACATTCTTGAACCGAAGTTAGAAATTTAGGACATGAAACACTAACTTCATACAACCACCTAATATTCATCGACGACTTGGAAATAATAATAATAATAAAACCCACATGTATAAAACCCATGTTTAGTTTCTGGAAAATTTTGGGATAAAGAATAAACACAAACCAAAACCTAAAATTTAAAAATGGCTTTCAAAACCAATAGCTGCGTATCAATACCCTTTCCATTTCTATTTCTATTTCCCTTTCCTGAATAGAGCAAAAAATAAATTCAAAAAGAAAAAAAAAATTGCAAGAGATTTTCCCACCGCAAAGAAAGAAGAGAACATTCAACGTATACATAAAATTTTGCGAGAGAAGAACGACGACATCAGATCCTATAAATCAAAACCCCGTATCGGACTTACATCAAACAGCTCTAAAATTTTGCACGAAAAAATACGGAAAATAGATTGAAAAATTAAGGGAAAAAAAAACAAAGGAAGATTAAAGATGGAAGAGAAACGCACCTCTCCACCGCGGATCCACGCAGCGATTCGACGGATTAGAGAATCGGATTGCGAATTTGAAAGTCTTCGCGTTTAGGGTTTGGTGAGAGAGAGAGAGAGAGCGGTGTGGTTTGGTTTCTTTTGGATTTATGGTTTTTGGGTCCAAAACGGTATGAGGTTAGAGAGACGCAATTTCTTTTTCTTTTTCTTTTTTTTCTTCTTTTTCTTCTTTTTCGTTTTGTTTTTTCTATTTTCTTTTCTTCATTTTTGCATTTTCTCTTTATTTGGCATTTACCGGCTTTGGTTTCAGGCGGCGAGCCATTGAACGCCGACGTTTTGACCTCATCAATGTTGTCTTCATTTGGCTGTCCAGTTATATATTTTGTTTTATTTTTCCTTTTTTCCTCTGTATTGACTATTGCGGAGTCGGGAATTCCGGTATTTAATAACCTAAATTACATATTAATCTAAAATACCTATTAATAATTCTGTTAAACTTCACGAAATTACATTCCGACTCTCTTGTCAGAATTAAGCAAAAATAAAAAAACATGGGCAATCTAATAATTACGTGCAACATAATTTTGTTTGTTTTTGCAACAACCTCACAACCATATCCTTCAATGCTAATCATATGGAAGGCTGGAATATAACCAGTTCGAGCTTTTCTTTCTACGACCTTGAAAGGATCTGCTTTGTCTTGCATAAAGACTGCTTTTTCTTCCCATTCTGGTAGAACTGAGTTGATCCTGACTAAGAGTTCTTCACCTCTTTTGATATACTGCTTAATATTCATTGCTAATTGTAGGAAAGGTGGCGAGAGCGTTCGGGATCCTAGAAGCTCGATAGGCCAATTGTATGAGAAAGGTGAATATTGTGTGAATGTTTGAACAAATACATAAGTATTTATAGAGATTTTGGATGAATTTTTATTTAAATAAATTTTTTAGTTGTTTTAAACATTGAGTTTCGTTTTGGGCAGTTAGATCTTCTTCTTTTTTTTTTTTATCGTTAAATTTGATTATATTGGATCTCGATAGGAGTATATTTATAAGACTTTGTTATCTTATTTCTTTGCATTTACTTAGTTAATGTCCTTTTGTTATATTGATTTAAGTTATTTTCGTTTTATTTTAGGTCTAGTGGACAAAGTTGACAATTAGGGGGCGTTTGTTGCGCCGGACTATCTCGGACTGGATTAGCTTCAAGGACTAAGCTGGACTGGCTTAGACTAGACAAAACTGGACTAACTTAGTGAAGCGTTTGGTGCAGTATTGGACTAAAAAGTTGAATAATAACAAATTATAATATTATATTATTTAATATATAAATTATTAATATTTTATTATGATCTTATCTTTTTCTTCATTTTTTCCTATCATTTCCTTGTTAAATTGGATGAAGTTAGCACCGCCAAAAAAATTCATCACCATCCCTGTACCGAGATCTTAGCTTTGAATGCTCGAATCTGTCATGGATTTGAAGAAGCCCAAACAGGCCAAGACTTCCAGGCCATTTTCCAGCCACATTCGACCACATTTTGGCCTCGATTCACGTAAAATCGTAATCTTGTCACTCCCAGCTTCAATTTGGTATATTTTATATGAAAGTTGGTTGTGAAATGGATCTGAAAGAGAGTCGGAAGGTTAATGATTGATCTAGGTGGCCGGAGATGACAAGGAGTCTGTCGAGAGTGGTCGTTGAGCATGACGAGGACAAGAAAGAGAGAATAGTCTTAGCTAGTCCCATGGTTATTGGGGGGTCTCGTTAATACCTCTTAGTGAAGGGTTTTGTCCATGCTAGTCCCCTTTAGTCTCATTAATGTTAGTCCCAGCATGGAACAAACACAGTATTGGACTAATAGCTAGTCTAGTCCAATCCAACTTAATGAGGGCAAACAAACGCCCCCTAAATGGTTCAGGGAATAGAAGCAATTTTGGACATAGATTGGATATGTTGGATTGTACAAGAGATGGATATTTTTGGAGTTTAAATGGTGTTTTACATGCACTAAAATTTGGAGGATTTAAAGTTAATAAGGCAATTGATATGTACTTTATCTTATCTTATCTCCAACTTCTAAAAAAAGTTTAAATCAAATTTAAACAATCTCCAACTGTTTCCTTAGAGTCTAAAATAATTTAAACGCCCTCATCCATTTCTTCTTTGGACTTATAAACCTTGGATTCTGTCATGCTTTATAAAATGTCATGCAACCTATTTCACAAGTCTGCCACACCCATTATTTATTCATCCATTAAAGTTGCTGGAAATTTAGATTTTTTTCTATCTTTGTTTTAAGTTTCAATGTTTCTTATAGATTGTTTTTCAATTATGATGAACATGTGTAATTAAATTTCTTTTTAGCTAGAGGTGAATTTGAAGCCATGAGCATAACTTTTATATGAATTGATTGCATGTAGTTATTATTTCATAAAAAATATGAATGTAATTTACTTAACAAGTTTGTAGAGAACTCATTCTTGTATGTTTATTAAGTGAATTTCACCTAATCATTATGAACTTGTATTCACAAGCAGTAAAAGTCACTAGTTTGCACGTTGGGATTTGATGCTAGAATATAGGGGAATTTTACCTGATTATTATGAACTTATATTCATAAGTAGTAAAAGTCACTAATCATGATTGAGTTAAGTAAATATTTTGAAAGGATATCATGATGTTCATAGTTACGAATGTTTTGTCATTAATACTTATGATTTTCACATAACTTAATGATCATTGAGATGTATTTCTATCATCTGTTCATAGTTACGAAATTTGAGAAGAATGATTTGAGTTGTGCTACGATCAAATTCAATGAGCTTAGGAAAATTTGAGAGTTAATTAGTGTTGTTCACGATTAATTTGGTGCATTGTCATTCACAGTTTATAGGAAGAATAACTGGAAATTAATTTGTGTGCATATGTTTATGTGTGGAGAATAATCCCTTAGCTAGCCTTTCATCCATGTCTCACTCACAACTTAATTTACTTGCTGCCATTTATTTTCATTTCAGTTTAGTTCAATTAAATTCGTTCAAAATCTCTCATTCATTGTTTTGTTGTTAGTTTAACTTGGTTTTTTGTTTTTTGTTTAATTTGTGTTGATTAACATCCCTTCAAATCTTTGAAATAGAACGATCCCCACTTACTCGTACTACGATCACATCTTTTGCAGGGTTTAATTTGTGCATTAGTTACATCAAATTTTGGAGTTGTTGCTGGGGATAAGCAAAAGTGCTTATATTCCCCTTTGTTGCCTTTTGTTTCTTTTATTTTATTTTGTTTTATTTTGTTTCAAATACTAGTTTATGACTCGAGGTTCTCAATTTGTCATTGAGAATATAATTATACTTTGTGAAGGATCTAGAGTTAGTTCTTTTTGGCTTTTCTTGTAAAACTTGTAATTATGTACCACACATGCTCTTTAGATCTATTTTCCTTAGATGAGACCTTAGGATACTTGGGTCTAAAGTCTAGGTTATGAAAGATCAAACTGCAAATGGTGTTGCCTCGGCTCAAGTAAGCTTTATACATGCATATGCATTTTACATTTAAATTTCTTAGACATTTTGACTAGTGAAGTTACCTTGTCAGAATTGTTCATTGTTTTCATGTGAGTCAGGCAAGCAATTTAAGATAAACGAGTTGACTGACACCTTTTACCCAAGTGTGAGTTTTTCACCATTGATCTTTTTCGATTGCTTTTCATTTGACACATGTCCTTGTGGTACTCCAACTAAACCAAAACAAAATTAAAAAAAAATTGATAAAAGCCTTGTGTGGTGGCCTTTTGTTTTTTTGGGATTTCCAACTTCATCTTCAAAGTGATAGTGTCTTTCTTTTTCCTCTCCAACTTAGAAACCCTAGAAGGAGTGATAGGAGCATATTTATGCGACTTTGTTAGTTTATTTCCTTGCATTTAGTGAGTTAGTTTCTATTTATTATAGTGATTTAAGCTATTTTCGTGTGTTTGTAGGTTCAATTGGCTAATGTGGCAAGAAAAGGCAATTTGGAGCATGTTAGAGCAGTTTTGGGCTTGGAATGGATAGCACATGCATGAAGCAAGGTGGATGGATGAATTTGAAGTTCAAGAAGGGCTAAGAATATGCTAAAGAGATGGAAGAATTAATTCAAGATAAATAAGATATGGAACTCAGCAAGAAAGAAGGAAACATGAGCCGAACTACCTTATTTTGTCTTAGCCAATCCTAATCCTACACTACTTAAGTTCCAGCTGCTAGGGGAATCCCTGATTATATTAGGACACCTAAATATATGATTCTAGAAGGCTTAATCCTAATTCTACAAGGGTGTCGCACCTATTCCTTCTAGAAAACCCATGCCTTGTCGTGCACTCCCTTTCCCTTTCTCTCCAAGATCCTACCGCATTTTCTTTCCCCTTTCCCTCATAGATTCTGATTTTAATTAGCCTTTTTCCTTGTGGATTTGGTGTGCAAATCTTTCCTAAATTTTAATAAGGGCCATGCCTTTCTCCTTTTAATGATATATGTATTCTGCCGCACAAAAGGGAGGATAGAATCTATCCATCACACACTTTAACCTATTTTCAGAGCCAAACACCTTTGTGCCGCAGCCTTGCAAGGAGAGAAGAGAGGAGACCCTTGGAGCCAGGCCCTGCCATTCAAGTTTGGATTGTTGGAACGTTCTTAGGTGTATTCTATCTTTTATTTTCAATGTTTAATTTAAGTTATCTTTGTTTAAGTGCGAACATGAGGAGCTAAACTCGTTTTGGCTATAGGAGAATTCAAAGCCATGAACATATATGTGATATGAATTGATTTCATCCAGTTATTGTTTCGTAAAACATGAATGCGATTTACTTATCTATTTGATTGATAACTTATTCTTGTATGTTGATTAAGGAGACCTACTTAGTTTGCATGCATGAATTTGATGCTAAAATATAAGGGAATTTCACCCAATCGTTATGAACTTATATTTATAAGTAGTGGAAGTCACTAATCATGATTGTGTTAAATAAATCCATGGCAGAAGTATCATGAAGTTCATAGTTACGAATGTCTTGTCAATGCTTATGATTTTCATAGAACTTAATGATCTTTGATATGTATCTTTATCATGTTGTTCATATGGGAACTTGATAAGAATAATTTGATTGCGTTGCTGAGTCCAATTCAATGAAATTAGGGAAA